GCTGATTTACTGCTGGGGTGTTTTCAAAAGAGGCTATCAATAAGATCAGCTGCAAGGCTCTTGGAGATGGAAATGCTGATCTGGTGCATGTGCGAAGGAAATTCAGTGCCCAGTGAGCTCAGCCTTGTAATATTCTTCAATCCTTAATGAGCAGATGATGGAGAAATCAGCAGTGTTGTATATATCTCTTTAGAGCATGTGAGTAGTGCCGCAGGAAGGCATACTTACTTAGGGAGCTGAACTCGGCTACTGAAATTTCACGTAATTTAGACTTGCGACTTATTCGCATGATCCACTCGAATATTTCTCATGCATTGGTCCTGGAGGGACTCTAAACAATTTATATACAGTAAATTCAGATGCCTTCACTTCTGTTTCAGCTCTGATAACCTTCAGAAAAATACCTTTGAATGCCTGTTCCTTATTTTCCAATTTCATTTACCACTGTAAGAAAGTAAGGAAAAAGAACAGGCATTAGATTGCGTAGAAGATAGTGGGAGTTTGCTACCTAAACCTCCTACAAAGCGTTAACCTGCACAGCTTGGCTGAGAGATGGTGAGGCCCTACAGCTCCCTTGAACTGAAGCACAGCCTCGGTGAGGGTTCTGGAGGAACAGCCTCAGCTGAGTCTGCGATCCTGAACTACGCCCTGAATCGTTTCTACTGGTTCTGTATGTTCAGTACCAAGACAAGGAAGGAGATAACTGTCCGTGCAGTGGTTGTTGCTGTGCATGAGTCAGTACAGGCTTGTAAGTAACCCTGCCTTAATGCACCACCAGTAGAAAATTACATCTCATCTGCTTCTGTGCTTAGCAACAGTGTATTATCTAGCTATTCATCTCGTGTGTTGTCTTCCTTTTCTGGCCCAGTTTACTGTGACCATGAGGATGGCAGCTTGGGTCGGCCTTAAGATAAATCCTTGGTTATCTCATTTTATTATTTTACCACTCTGAAGGCTGCTGTATCCTTTAGTTTTCAGTGGTGCAGGAAACTTTAGCCGTAGACTAGTGAATTCCCATTAGTGGTTCTGCAGGCTGTAGGGGCTAACCTTACCTGATGTCTCAGTACAAACTTTTTTTTTTTCTTCATTTTCAGGACCTCTCTGTATCCTAAGTATATTGGGAAACGAGATGGAATTGAAAGGAAGTTGTATCATCCAGAGCTAGCAAAGCAATGTTACACAGAATGAGACTAAAATAATGCTGTGCCCATTCTTTGCCTTCAGGGTGGTTCCAGCTTGTGTTGATCTGCTTCAGTGCAGGGGTAATTTTTCCAGTTTTCAGATGAAGACAGTGTTGGAGTGATAAGTTCTTCAGGCTTTGCATCCAGATCTATAAAAGCAGCACCTGTGCTCTCATTTAAAGTAAATAGCCCGAATCTGGGAGTATTTTCAATATGGAACAATATTTTCACAAAGCTGTAATCACTCTAATTACTCTTCTGAACAGGTATCAACAATTTAAGTCAGCAAATTGGAGACAGCTTGTTCAGCTAGTCCGGTAGAGCGTGTAGCTATTTGCTGACGGAAGCAGAAAAAATATCCTTCTCGCTGCAAAATGACGTTCACCTGTTGATATAATCAATGCTGGTAGCCTTCGGGGGAGCTCATGTGTGTCTCTGTCCACTTTGATCATCCCATCCTTCTTGGACTTAGCTCATTGCAGCATTGAGGTGATCTGTGCTTGTTTTTTGTTGTTGTTCTGAAAAAAATATATTACCTTTGTATAGACATAACCAAAGGGTTTAGTACAGTGTCATACTACTCATATTTGTACAGTTTTAGGGCTGAAAGATGACTTATTTTTATTGCTACCATGGCTTCTTATTCCCTCTCTTTTTTGAGAGAGAGGGAGAGAGAGAAATGAGAAACCAAGGGTTGGTGCCTTCCTTTACTGTTAGGTGCTTAACTATTTCAGAATACTGTACTTAAGTTACATTTTTGAGGGTAAGTTGTCAGGTTTTCATCTGTATAATGTTTATGCTTTTGTTCAGGCAAGATACTGCGTAATGCCAAGTCAGGCCTAAGATTGTTGCACCAGTGCTTTAGCAGTGTCTTTATCAGAAACGCTTCACAAAAAGATTCTCATCAAGTTAACTGGAAAAGATGTTTCTTGTCAGTCATACTTATTTTATAATTGTTTATAAATAACAACAACTCTTAACTTGTTTGGCCCCAGTTTTCTGTTGGGTTCGCAGGCCTAGATTGTCCCATTAACCCTTTTAAAAATAAAATATTAAATATGTGATTTTTTTTCCAGACCTTTGAAATTTTCCCAGGACTCAAAAGTTATTTGGGAATCTTTTGCAAAGATCTAGAGATGGATTTCTTCTAAAAGTCTTGGATGCGCGCTATGTGGATCTGCTGACTTAAAAGCTGTGTCTTCAGTGCTTGTTTGACATCCTTATTCCGATAATATAAATTTGACTTATTTCTACTTACACTTATTAAGCACTTCTCCCTTTCTTGATGCCAAGTTTTTGTTCATTTTATCCAGCCTCCCCTCTCTCTGCCATGCAATACGTCTCCCTTTCCGAGCTTCTATCTATATTTTGTCCTCAGAACTGAACGAAGGGCTTATTCTTAGCGGGGGACATACCAGCTCTAACCCACGGGCTGCGTTATGCCTGTTGACTGGTGCAGTTCGCTGCCTTTTGGCTAGCAAGAGGACAAATCCTCCTGGTGGCAGGTGTGACAGACCCACGTTGGCATGAAATTCAGTCCCATCGTCTTTGAGGCTGGCTCTGTGGCACTGCAGAGAAAACTAATGCTGCGTTGCTGGGAAAGCATTGATTTTTTTCAGATTGCTACCTGTCTAACTCCGAGACGGCTGTTAATTCTGGTGCAGAGGGAGTCAGGAATGACACTGCCCAGCAGCTCCTGTCAAGGCGAATCAATGAGCAGTGGTGCTTCCGCACACTCCGGAATAAATCAAGTGCTTCAGTTGGGAAGTGGGATTCAGCTGAGTCCCAGTTAAGACACCTAAGTCTGCATGCAAACTGCAGAACACGCACCTGACAATATATACCCATGTACCTGTGGTACCTTGGGTTTTAAAAATTATTTTTAAATTACCGTTTCACAAATTAAATTATTAAGCACCTTTGAGAGAGTGAGTGAGTGAATGTGAGGCCAGTCGTTATGTATGTGCAAAACTGCTCTGGTCTTGGAAGGGCTGTACAAGTTGTCATGGCTGTCATACTTAAATGCATTTGGGTCCTTTTCAATTCTCATTAGTGTCCAATTTGATAGACATGTTTTGATTTATTTCTAATATGCAGTGATAGCAGTGAGTGCATCGCAAGTTAGGAAACAGTCAAAATTCCCTGTGTGAGGCAAAGGAGGTTAGTGCTGCTTTACATAACAGGGAGTGATGAGTTGTATTCGTTTCAATCGGGGAACTTCCAGCCTGTCCTGGAGAGCGCTGGGAGTTTCAGAGTCACCCTCCTCTCTATGGCACTGTGTAAGCAGGAGCTCAAAGTGCCTGGAGCCGTAAGATCAGGAGGCAGCGAGAAGGGCCCCGGGTGTAGCCATTGTGGCAGAAGGGAGGCCCGAGGCTCCCCGCTGCCTCCAGGCTCCGCGCTCAATCTGCGTTACGGGGTCGCTGCCTGGCGCGCTGGGGAGCGCCAAAGATGATCCCAGAAAGTCTCGTCAGCTCGCGGCCACCTGAGGTGCTGGGCACTTGCTGTAGCCTGCAGGAGTTTTGATGAGTGGGAAAGTGTTTGAAGGAAGGCAGGAATACAGCACTTGGTCAGCCTTCCTTGGGAGACTAATTAGTCTGACTAATCGGGTATAAATGACTTGGCATAAGTGGTGAAGGAGTCTTAAATAAGCATGCTTGAGTTTCAAAAAGTCTCTTAGCCCTGAGGGATTTTTTTTTTGTCCCAACATTAACTGTTGTAAATTAAGCCCCACTTGCTTTCCAGGTGTGCCTTAAAATCATTGTAGGAGGTGGGGTGGGGGGCTGGGGGGGAAGTTACTTAAAAAGGTAACTTCAGTTGCTTTTCTGGAGAAAGCTAAGTCTTTATTTTTGCATGGGGCCTTTGGTCCTAGGAGCTCCTTGGTTGGTGCTGGGGCAGGTGGAGGGTGGTTTTCAGAGCACATTGCTGTACTCACTGTTCAAGTAACGTCCCCAGGGTTTGGGACTAAAGCTGGGGCCGCCAGTGTTAGTTATCATGCCTTGTATTCTCCAGGGCTCCACAGCATCTTCTAGAAGCTCTCTGCTGTGGCCTGGCCCTTGTCCGACAGGGTCGGCATGGATCACGGCCTTCACACAGCCCTTGTGCTGTAGTTATGAGAACTGTGTTCGTGTGTGTAGGCATTACCTTCTTCTTGGAAGTTTTAGCTGCTGGTGAAGCTATTAAAGCGCCAGCGGGCATCAAAACGACAGAGCTTAAATTTAGGGGTTAAACATATTCTAAAAGTACAGAAATGTCAGGGGATACAATTGCTCAGAAGATTAATTTGTTTGCATTTCCCTTACTCATCTCACAGTAATAAGTTTTTAAGAGGACACTGGTTTCATCTAATAGTTAATTAAAATCACGAACTTTTTTTAAAAAAAAAAAAAAAAAAAAAAGTGTCCCTATTCTTAGATCTCAGTTTTTACCAGTTTCATATAAACCAGAACACTTGTGTGAGTAAGTTCTTTCTGGTACACATTTGGTCAGCAGTGATGGGCAAGCTTTGACTTTAAAGCACGTTTTTGTATTAGTTGAAAAAATCTGGGTTTCTTAGCTCCAATACTGCAATTTATCTTCTGAGCTTCAGCCGCTAGAGGGACTCTAAACCTACTATCAGTATAGCTGTGGCTTAAACTGGTGAGCAAAACACTCTGCCAAGCATGTAAGCTTTAAAATGTGTAATGGGAACATATATCAGAGACCTACTTTTAATTTCATAAATTCGAGTTATAAAAATCAATATTTGGCACTGTTTTTGAAGGATAACAATTCAAAAATATTTATATAGTTTAACCACTTGAGTAACTTTTCTTTGCAGGTGAACTCGTGAATTAGTGTACCATCAATGATGGCAGAGCACCCACCCTTGCTGGATACCACTCCGATTATAAGTAGTGAAATTCCTCTTCTAACTTCCCCTATTGTTAGTGGGGATGGAGCACAGCAGGTAAGGAAACTTAAATATCTTTTTCTTTTCTTTCTTTTTTTTCCCCACCTCTTTCCAGCAGCATCAGTGACATATTGACACTTTAAGAGGCAGTAAGCCTTTATCTGGAATATTTTTGTACAGCACTGGTCATGCATGTCTTGTAGAGATGAGTTCAAGTGAGAAGTGGTGCAGAGAAGACATTAGTAAGAAGTACGAAGCAGAAAACCTGTCTTGTAGAAGACCTCGTTTCTGTGAGGATGGGAGCAGGCAGCTGCTGTGCTGAATCAACTAAGACGCCAGGTAGTTGCATCAGCAGGGGACCTCATGAAGGGTAACAGGTTTCCCCTGATGGTAGGGTTTATTGATTCAGGTGCAGTGTGTGCTCTAGATTGAATCTTGTTCACAACCGAGTGTCTCGTATGGTGGGGTTTTCTTCTCTTTATTTATATTAAACCTGAGCACTCATTTTGAATAGCTTGACTGTTCTGGGCTAGCTAAAGGACAGCTAAGAGGGACTTGCAGTCCCTGTTTTGGAATACTTTAGCTCTGGGTTTTTAGATGCCAGAGAAGCATGATTGTGGAACAGCTTCCAAGGGGAAGAAAGGTGGGTGGGTTGCTTGTTTGTTTTAAACAACAGAACAAGGAACAAACAAGGAACACTTAAAGGACTAAAAGTATCTGAACAGACTGAGAGATTATTGCCTGTGAAAGCAAAAGACTTGGGATCGTGATCTGGAAGTTTCTTGTTTTGATGTTTGACAATAATACAAAAAAGTAATTATTTATCACAAGAAAAGGGAAATAATTTAGAAGTAAAAAAACAAACAAACAAAACAAAAACCAAAAAAAACAAGGCAAAAGAGACTCCAGAATGAGACTGGAGAGTGGATTGCAACAGTGCTTGGGCTGCAGGGAGATCTTTGTCGCATAGGTGAAGCTTAAATGCAGAGGAAGTTAATAAATGTTAGTGAATAAATATGTGGATAGAAAATGCCAGAACGAAAGTGAAATACTCCAGCTTGCTTTTTCTCCCAAATCTGTTTGCACATATTAGGATGTGGAAGGAGTCGTCTGCAGCATTCAAGAGAACAGTTAGTATTTTCTTACATGTCCTATCTTGAAAAATTTAATTTGAAAGCCTTACATACAGAAAAGAACAAAACATGCCTACACAAAATTAGGCATTCCACCACCATTAAAAATATTCTTTCTTCCTACTGTTGTTGTTTAAAACTTTTGTAGACTGATCACAGAATCCTTGAAATTGAGAGAAGCCTTGGAGATTTAGTCCTACCTCCCCCATGAAAGCAGAAACATCTAATGTTCAGGCCTCTGTCCAGTCAAGTTTTGAATATCGCCACTGGACAAGTACTGCCCTCTTGGACATTATAACAGCTTTGTTCATTTCTTCTCCCTTGAAGTAAAATAACTGCTTAGGTTTAAGTGGAATTTTTGAATTTCAACATAGAATCATAAAATGCTTAAGGTTGGAAGGGACCTCCAGAGTTCATCTTGTCCGACCCCCCTGCACACACAGGGTCACCTAGAGCACGTGGCACAGAACTGTACCCAAGCAGATTTTGAAGATCTCCAGAGAAGAAGGCTCCACAACCTCTCTTGGCAACCTGTCCCATATTTAAACATACGTTCATTGCCTCTAGTCACCTCACTGGGTACCACCAAGAAGAATCTAGCTGTGTTGCCTGTACTCGGCAGCTGCTGCTGCTGCCAGGATCCCCCTCTGAGCTGTCTCTGCTTGAGGCTGAACAGTCTCAGTTCTCTCAGCCTCTCTCTGAGCGTCACGTGCTGCAGTCCCTTAGTCACCTTCGTGGCCCTTCCCTGCACCTGCTTCAGAGCATCCGTGTTTCGCTTATGCTGGGGAGCCCAGAGCGGGAGGCAGCTGCGCAGAAGTTGCCTCACTAGTGCAGAGGTGATCACCTCCCTTGACCTGCTGGCAGTGCTTTCTCTTGCAGTCAGGAAACTGTTACTTTTTTTGCTGCAAGAGTACAGTGCTGGCTCGTGGTTAAAATGTCCACCAGGACCCATAGGTCCTTTCTACAAAGCTCCCAAGTCTGTACTGGTATATGGAGTTATTCTTCCACAGATGCAGGACTTGACACTTCCCTTTGAGTTTCACAAGGTTCACATCAGCTCGTTTCTTCAGCTGGTCGAGGTCCCTCTGAATGGCAGCACAACCACCTGAGGTATGAGCCTTCTCTCTCACTCCTGTTTCCCACTTTGCCCCATCATCCAGGTCATTAATGAAGGTGCTAAACTGTATTGGATCCAACATTGGCCTCTGAGGAATACTGGAGCAGACTGGCCTCTGTCTGGATTTGTGCCACTAATCATAACTGTTGGAGTTTGCCAGTTCAGCTAGTTTTCAGTCCACCTTTCTATCTAGTCCACATTACTTCAATTTGTCGGTGAGGACATTATGACAGTGTCAAGAGTCCTGATGAAGTTTGAATAAACTCCATCCATTCCTCTCCCCTCATCCACTAAGCTCATCACAGAGGGCTATCGGGCTTGTCAGGCATGATTTCCCCTTGGTGAAAGGGGAAATCCCACCGTTCACACATGCTGTGTGATTCCAGTCACCTTCTTGTCTTCAGTGCTGGGAAACTGCTTCCAGGGAGCTGTGTTTCCTCACCTTCCCAGGTCTCGATCTGGGGCTCACTGGTCTGTAGCTCCCCTGATTTTCCTCCTTGCTCTCCTTCAAGAGAGCGGTGCCAGTTGCTTCCTTCCAGTCCTCGGGAACCTCACCTGATTGCCATGACCTTTCAAAGATGATTGAGGGGATGCAGTACTTGTCTTTTCCAAAAATGAAACTGCTCAAGCTAATACTCTCCAACTTAGTCACGGTCCAGGATTTTGAGTCAGATCTGTCTGTGACTAAGTATTCTTTTGGGAACATTTCATTAAAATAGAAGCGCTGCTTCTCTTTTGCTATCAAGCAGTAATAAAAATGGAAAACAAGCAAAGAATTTGATCAAAAGCAAAGTCATAGGAGTTCCTATTAATCTTAAAGGAAAAACATAATATATGCTGTAGATATCTTTTTAGCACCTGCTCTTAAGAATATTATATACAATGGAACTGATAATGTTACTGTTGAGGGAAAAACAACTGCAGAGGGCATTAGATAGGTTTTCAATGATGAATAAAGCAAATCATGTTCTTTCTTAACTTCATGGTAGGTGACAATTATGCCACAGTGTTGGCTACCCTTTTGTGTTCTAGGGTAAGTGATGAAAGTTACATATTAGTTTCAGTTCCCCTCTTTGCATCTAATACGTGACTCATGAACAATCTGCAAAGTCATTTAGTAGCAGGAAACTACTAGCAAGCCTTCTTACGTCCATTGATTTAGAAACCATCAAGAAGTGGAAATGCTTTTTATATCCGAAAACTGGGAAATCCAGAATTACAGGTATTGCTTACTTTGTCTGGGTTGTCCAATTGAGATTTATGCTGCAGGAAGATTAGGTCACTGGGTGATTATGCATATTTTGACATTACAGAAGCAGGATACACTATCATATGAAGTGGGATATATTTGAGAAACAAGTAGGGAGCAGGGTAACTTTTAACATTTTTCATATCTGTTAAAAATGTCTGAAATATCCATTGTAGTCCTTATTTTTTTCTGTAACTTTTTGAAGTTACTGTGTATCTCTGAGACATTATAGCTACATTAATATCATTTTGTGCTTCGTGACTTTTTGTAGTAAAGACTTCTTGTTACTGCCATAATGAGTTCTAGAATATGACAGTGAATTCTTTTGCCCTCATTATGAGGTTATTCTCATTTTCTGAAAAAAAGGGGTGCTTCCTTGAAAATATGAAAGCTTCCCTAGATTCCTGTGAAACAGCACCATGCTGCTGGATTGTATAATCGGTAACTTAATGTGTAGTCTGGCAGAACTTGTGTTCTCACCATCAGAATTCAGAACCATGTTTTGTCTATATGTGTTCGCTTTAATTGGGTGTTGGTGGCACTCTGGCTCTAAAAATAATTAATCCTACTCTTAGGCCTGACTGGGGAAGAAAGTTTTAAAAATATTATCCATATGCATATATGCACACGTGCTTTTGCTCTGTTGCACTCTTTTTTGGCAAAAATTGTGAATTTTTGTTCAGCTGTGAAACAGATGAGACTGCAAGAGAGAGGAAAAAACCTATTGTATGTAAAGATAAATCTTACCAGAATTAATGACTTTAATTACTGTGACTTAAATTGCTGTAAAATGCACTGTGTGGTTATTGTGGCAGAATGTAAAATTGAGATGCTAAATGGCTGTGGACCATTCAGTGCTTTTCTGGAACAGTTCACATCTTCAAGGTAATCAATTTCAGGTACTTAAAGTTCTCCTAGCAATTTAAACTTGAAATAGTAATACAAATATTTGAACATGTTATGATGAAAGGTCATGCGCTTCAAAGAGTGGAAGTGCCTGATTAGGTTAAAGCTGTGATTTTCCACCGTGTTTTAAAGCAAAACAACCCACAAAGCAGGAGGAATGCTCATGTTCAGGCTGAAACCATGTGGAATTTAGCCTGTATATTAGGACTTCATGTTGACTTTTGTATGCAGTTCACTGTCACTCAGTGCTGCTGTGGGGGATCTGCCTTTTGTGTCCCATGGAAACTATAGTTAGTCTCACAGGACATAACCGGAAAGGGAAGAGTAAAGAAGAAAGCCCTTTAGCTCCTTTCCATAAAGCACACCAAAAAATACTTCTGCATCTTCTCACCACCATGCATGACATGAGAGAGGGTAATACACTCTTTAACTTTTGGTTGTAAGATTGGAGGTGAACCATAGGAATTGGTGTAGAGACAAGGCGAGACTGGGAAAGCTTGGTATGAAGACAGGAGTGATTGCTCGGCTAAGGGTAACTCCTGCCATGAGGCCTTGCTGGTTGTTGCCGAGGTTGGGCAGGAAGAGTGTGTGTGGTTATGTAAGCCATGATCCTTCCTGGTGAGGGAAGGTAAATTCGTGACTGAGAAGAAAA